CCAACGCAATTTTTTCACATGATTTTTTTTATGTAAGTGCAAAAACAGTCTTAATAATAATAAGACACGAGAGTTATTTCCCTTGATAGAGGTATATTGTCCTAAATCATGCTGATATTTCTGAAAGTTTCGTCTGTTGTAATTATGTACATAATTACTTGCATTCAAACATAAAATTTTTGGGTCGCCGTAACCACACCCTTTTTGGGAACTGGATCCGCGCTTTGAAAAACAATTCTAGCATAAGCTAAGTTCGGTGGCGGTTGTTTGAGGGATTTTCAAATGTATGTTAAATGAAAATCTTCCTTTGAAGCTGGTTGTTTAAAATATGAACTCAAACTCAAACTCAAACTCAAAATATCTTTATTCAAGTGGGTAACCAAGTACACTTTTGAATCGTCAAGTTAAATTAATCATAAATTTACATTTACTACCAGTTCGCAAGTCAAGGGCGTAGAGCGGGTAAGAAGAACTGGCAAGAAACTTTCCGCCACTCTTTTTAATCGCCAAGTATTGTCATACAAATTGTTTGAACTGGAGCAATTCAATCCCAAGGATTAGGATCATTTAAGTAGTCCTCAAATTTATAAAAGGCTTTGTTGATTAATTTTCGTTTAACAAGGGCTTTGAATTTATTTAGTGATAATTCTCTAATTTCGCTTGGGAGTTTGTTGTAAAAACGAATACAATTTCCATATAAGGAATGAGAGTTGCGATGCTAACAAAAAACGAACTAAGCTTATTTAAGGGTTCTTAAATCTTAGTGACACTTCAATACAAGTGTATTCGGCCTTTTTGGACATAATCGGAAACAAGAATGTTATATTACAATTTATGAGTGTGGGAAAAACTAAAGGGCTAATTTTGACTTCAAGCGTGCGATGATTTCGAAAATTTGGTTTACACTTTTAATTATTTACTAAAATATATACAAGTAACATAACTAATGTTAGGTTACAAAACTCATGGTTTTCGACAAAAGCTAGAAGTGAAACACTTCTTTCATCAATCATCAAGCCTCAGATATAAGTTATTTATACAAACAGGAGTTGGTAGAAATGCTTGGCCTTCAAACGTTTAAGTTCAAAACGTGGTTATGCCATTTTTTTTATTTAGTTCTCACTCATATTCTACTTATAAAAGAAAAAGACTTGATTGTTTATTTTAATGGAAATAAATTAATATTAAAATTATCATACAATTTATTATTGTACGTTTGCCTCATTTGTTGTTATTCACCCAATATAACGCAACCATTAATAATTTGTTTTTCTATTAAATATTCTTAATGCCGGCGCGTGAAACTTTTAATTCGCACCCTATTAGCCGGACCGACATGAATGAACTAAATTATTGTTCGTCTTCGTGATTCAAATGTTTAAATAAATTAGTATGACACGTCTGCTTAATTTTTGTTCGTTTATGCCAGATTTTTCACCAAGACAAAAAAAAACAATGCCTGTTGGGACAGGTGTGGAAAGTTTTCTTTATATTCAGTGAGGCATGAGGTAGCACATAGACTACCAGACTTATAAATACGGAATCAATCGCTACCTTATTCTGTAAAATTCAAATGACGTGGACTAAGGACCTAATATCTATACCCATAGTTCTCTCAATATATAGCGCTGTTGTCGCAAACTTGAAAATACGTGGTATGGACTCCATATTGAAATAGAGTTACCGTAGTAAGTTACGTCTTCATTTGTATTCAGGTTAAACTTGAACCAACAAGGCTGTTCGATTTCAGATATTCGAATATTAAATAATTTCTTACAATGCTTGCAATTACGCGTGGCTTAAAACGTTAGTTCTAAGCTACAGCCAAATAACTCAACGTTATCGAAGTTATATTTCAAGAACAATAACGCTCTTATAACTATTAAACAAAGCGTTGTTTGTCAAATATAACTGTTTGGTTAGGCTTCGATAAGGCTAACCGCCCTAAATTTCCCACTCATTCCCTTGTAATTCGTCTAACAACATGGTGTATTGTCGACTGATAAGCTTCGGTGTTCTCTTATGTATTGCGAGTGTTGTAAGTACTAATTACATTACTTCATATTATATTGTTAAATGTAGGTTTCTTCTTGAATCACGAGGTATATATATATATATATATATTATAGTAGTATTAGATAAATCTTGATAGATTACTGAATGTTGCTCAAGACAAAGAGAAATGGATATGGAGGATGCTTTTACCCTAAAAGGGGCCATACAAGAACTATACCACTAAAAAAGAAAAGAAGAAATCTAACTTAAAATTTAACACTACTAATACTAATATTAAGTGTTAAATTAAGGAATGTAAACTAATAAATTGTTGTATGGATTATTTAATTAAGCTTTAATAATCATAGATTAGTGGAACTGTCACTCCTATTCGCCAATCAGCCTTAAATGAAAATTTACAGTGATACCGTTATTAAACATGATTCAGTCTAATTGTACACTTTTAACTGAAGTGCTCTTTAGTGTTTTTGTAAAATATTTACGCTCTGCTGAAAAGAAAGAGGTTACTTTAATTAAAAAGATAAAACTACACCCATATCTTTTTTATGAATGAAAGAGTAGTAGAATTTATCATCCTCTATTCTGTTAAACATTTTCCAAATCAGTGTTTTTTACCTGACCATACGTATAATCATAGAGAATTCTATACGCGTTATTTCATTAAATTAAGAAAACATCACATTTATTTTAAAGCGTATACAAAAAGAAGGAATAAAAATTACAATATATGTATGTTTAAGATCAATCTAATTAAAAGATGGGAACAAATGTAGGTAGGAACTTTACAATGTGCTTTTAAATATATATTTTTTTGTATGTTTAAGTAGTTAATTTGAACTTTTTAAAATAGTTATGTTAAAAAGAAATAGGTCGAAAGTATCTTACAGACCAATTTGACTTAGGGTCCTTCAAGAAAGTAGCGTACCAATTCTTAAAAGACCGGCAACGCATTCGCGAGCCCTCTGGCATTGAGAGTGTCCATGGGCGGTATCACTTAACATCAGGTAAGCTGTTTGTCGACTCTTCTATATAAAAAAAAGACTGGTTTTGAGGTTCGAACCGAACCAATGAAATAAATTTCTTAACGAATACAGATAAAGTAACTGTCATACATTTAACCAGTGCATAAAAAGTAACGTCCATTTAATAATCAAGTTAGATTCACGCCAAATTAATAGTGTTATAAAATTTGAAACGGCCTACTTTATTTAAATAATTCGACCGATTTTGTTCGATTGAATTAACTGAAGTTATTAAATCATCGGGCAGACACATTTCCGATTTGTTTTCTTATGAAAAATTAATTCCCAGGATCTTTATTTTGGAATATATAATATATATATATATAATATATATATATATATAATAATAAAAAGCAATTTTAGTAACAGATTCCAAAGTTATTCTTAGTTAGTCTAGTTCAAAGTTAGTCTTAGTTTTTTTTTAAATATACAGGTACCCCTACATCGTAGGCTATCAGACACGCAATCGGCAGATGTGACCGAGTGGCTAAGCAGAAGGGGAGTGTCGAGATCTCCCCTTTCTTAAAAAGGGACATTATTATCTTAAAGGGTTGGCGTCCAAAAATAAGGGTTAAAAGCCACTTTGCCACCTGTTTTACTAAAGCCAGTATTACTTTGGTTCCTAAATTACATATATTAGGTCCTTACATATGAAATTGGCGTTTTGTATGGGAGGAACAAAAAGTCGAATATTTTTAAATATAATATATTTAATTAATCAAAGTAAGAACCATTGTTTTCTATGCACTTTTGCCATCTCATAGGTAGTTCATTGATCCCTTTGGTAAAAAAAAACAGTCGGACGGGAATCAGTAAAATCTGTGAAGGCGATTTGGACTGCCCCATCAGAGTTAAATTTTTTCCCTTGCAAGAAGTTGTCCAAATTTCGAAAAAAATGGTAATCTGTTGGAGCAAGGTCCGGGGAGTACGGAGGATGTCTTAGACATTACAATTGAAGCTCTTCTAATTTGGTAGCCGTCTGTTGTGCAGTGTGTGGTCTAGCGTTGTCGTGAAGTAGCAGTGGCGTGGAGCGATTGACCAGCCTAGGTTGTTTAGACGCTAGCTTTTCCATCATGGTTTGTAATTGCTGACAATAGACATCAGCCGGAATGGTCTGGCCAGATTTGAGAAAACTGCAATGAACAATACCGGCACTAGTCCACCAAACGCTTACAAGTAACTTTTTTGGGGTTAATTTAAGCTTGGGGCAGGATTTGGCTGGCTTGCCAGGATCCAACCATTGCGCTGAGCGCTTCCGATTAGTGTAAAGAATCCATTTTTCATCACAGGTAATGATTCGGTTTAAAATACCTTCATTATTGTAATGTAACGCAGCAGTCGACGCGCGTTTGCCGGTTTGCTTCAGTCAATTCGTGAGGTACCCATCTTTCAAGCTTTTTAATCTTCCCAATTTGCTTCAAGTGAATTAAAACAGTTTTATCACTAACACCGCAGCCTGCAGCTAACTCGAACGTGGTTTGCGATGGATCTGCTTCCACAATAGCCTTCAATACTTCATTATCAACTTGGGTCTCAGGCCGTCTATGGGGCTTGTTCTGCAGGTCGAAATTTCCAGAACGAAAACGTTGGAACCAAAAACGAACTGTGTTTTCTTTTGCAACTTGACCGTCATACACATCATTCACCCTTCGAATCGTTTCCGCAGCACTAGTGCCACAGCGGAACTGGTACTCGTAAATAATGCGATACTTTAAGTTTTCCATTTTGTAAAATGAGTGACGCAAACAGAAAAAAAGAGAAGAAAAAAACAAATGAATGACGGTCATCGAAGCACAAATACATGAGTAAATAGCTGTACAAATTTGAATTTGGAATTCCTTACCAAAGAGGAGAACATCGTGATTAAAGTGGCCAGTACGAAATACGCCAATTTCATATGTAAGGACCTAATATTTGGAAAACCGATGAATTATTTAATCACGCGACACAATCCTTTGCGATATGCTTGATGTGGTACGTGCATACCATTATGTATGTATCATACCATCCTTATTATGTTCGTAGTTTGAATCGAGCCCAGAACCGAAGCTTTACGCTTTAAATAAACCGAGTATCCAACGATGGCGCTTTATGCTTAAGGGTAAAATTATAAGCGCTCATTCACCTGCTACAAGTAATAAGTACGAGATCATTTTAACCACTTTAATTAAGCTGAGGCAACTACCACAATTATCTGTAATGTCTGTGCCAACTGTTAATCTTCCCATTAAGTTTCGCGGATCAAGACAGTTTTGTGACGAAACGACGCGCTTTATGTACATTTTAATAGCTTTATTTTGTGACGAATGTAGGTTAGTCACAATATTGACCACCCAATGTTTCTGTTCTAATAATAACCGTTTTGTAACATTAAAGGCTCAGTTATATGACATGTTACAGTATAATAATAATAATAATGAAGCCCGTTTTATTTCCAATCATGACAAAAACAAATTATAATACACAGCTTAGATTATTTTACATTCTTATAAAAAAATTTTTTTTGGAACCCCTTCACGGGTAAAGGCCTCCTCCAGCTTTTTCCAACTGACTCTGTCTTTGGCTCTCTTTCTCCATTCGTTTCCTGCTACCGCTTCTATTTCTTCTATGCATCTTTTTTTTACACGTTTTTTTTGTTGTATGTTCCAGTATGTGTTAACATAAATAATAAGAGGTGCATTCTTAAATAATTATTGTTAATCAGCAAATAAAAACACAAATTACTACCATGAAAATATAATATTAATGTGCAAGTCTGTTATAAATATATTTTAATTATAGCTTTTATCTAACGAATATGCATCTTGAATAAGCATACAATGGAATGCAGCAAAGTTATCAGCGACCTATTATACAAGTACTCATACAAAGCACGGTAGCATTCACAAGTAATTGTACCACAGAGCAACAAGCATTAGAACGCAATCTGAACTTCTGCAATATTTCGCGCTGCACTTTTATCTCGACAACCAATGAATCGATCGTTGGTAATTTAAGTCGCAGTTCCGAATGCTTTCCGGTAGACATCAATTTCTATGAAAGTGAATAGCATAACTAGATGCGCCGGCTTTTGTAGGAAACGTTTAAACAGCCCGATTAATTGTTTGGCTTGCATCACGATAACCACTTAGCCCTTTGCATCTATTTATGTAATATTTGTAAATGTAATGAAAGTTTTGAATAAGGACAAACGTTCTTTGTTTGATCTCAATCGAAAACGAGAATATATAGGAACAATCCTTTTTTTCGGAATATTTCAGAATTTTTCTTTAAGAATGGAAATCGGAAATTTTAGTCTGATCTTCAGATTTCTATATCTGTTTCGTGATCATTTCTAATAGGCAAGTAGGTGATCAAATTTCTAATAGGCAACTAGGTGATCAAATTTCTGTACCTGACACTCGACTTTTTGGATCTAAGGCACGACGGTGTCCTCACGATGTTTTCCTTCACCGTACGAGTGAGTCTTAAATGTATGCATAGGTAGAAAGTCTATTAGTGCACGCCGGGGATCGAACCTACAACACCAGGGATGAATGTCGCACGTTGAAACCACTAAGGCCAACAAGGCTAACACGTTGAGGCTAACATTAATACATTTATTTACTAAACTCATAATATAAATTCAAATTATTAGTAAAATTACATTGAGACTTCTAGGTTTTATTAAATAATTATTCACCTATAGCTTTTGAATAAACATTTAATTATTTTTACAGATTTCCAAAATAGTTCTGCCACATAAGCTACGGTATTTAGAGAACATGTTAAACGCGGAAGTAATTGCTAAAGCCGCAAAGATACGTCAAAGGATGGAAGCTAATCCCAACATACCAGATAGTGACAAAAGTTGGCCGATGTTACTTGCAAAATATCAGGAAGACGAGAAGAAAACCGCCCCCGTATACTCTTACAACAGTCTGTATGGACGAAGAATGCCGAACTATTAGAATTATTTTAGTTATTAAAGATACAAACAAATCATTTCGGTCGTTTTGAGTTACTCTTGAGAATGTTTCTGTCTTTCAACCTTGCGTCAGGCACAGATTTCTCGATCTACTTGTCTATAAAAAAAAGGGTGCGTGTACTTATGTACGCGCGTAAGAAGTAATACTTCTTTGGCGTATGGAAAAAAAATAACTAAAATGCAGTAGTGATAAAATGAGTAACGATAAATATTAAAATTAATCAATAAAATTATTATTAGGAAATACTATCACCGTCGTATATGATTGTTTAATTAAAACACCAAAATAATATTTATTTATTCACACTGTTTGTACTGTTACGAAACACGTGTTCTAAATATAATAATACTAGAATATACAACTTGAACATAGTTATTACCGATTTTCATGCCACCTAGAACTAACTTCATTCTGTTAATTTTGTGTAACGGTGCGCGCGCATCGTAAAATTTCACTCTCATCAATTTTTCATAACGCGCCTAAAGAAGTATAACTTCAAATATGTTCAAAGGATCGGAGCCAATCTGTGACCTAATCTAATCTAGACCCAAAGGGAGTAGGTGTAGCGCCAATGGATTATTATAACTATTCCTGCCTTTGATTTCTCGGAAGGAAATAAAAAAGGTTATTTAAAGGGTATTTTTTAAGGTCAGTTTAAAATTGATTAACAATTAAAAATTTCGTGACATCTCCTCTGAATTGAGCTAAATCTAGTTAATATATATTTGTTATGGACAAACTTTATTACTGACAAAATATGATAACAACCTCGTTTAAATGTGCCGTTACAACATTTTAAGGTGTATTATCTTTTCATTAAGCAGTAATAATAGTAAGCCTTCTAAGCCTGGCCCAACGTTTATAAATATAGAATATTATTTATAATAACAACTCTCTAAAACTTAGCATCACACAAATCTTAAACAAAGTATAGGTTAAGTTTAGTTTGCTTATACAAAAAGTTGGGTATAATGTTACAGCACTTATATTAATTTATTATATAAATACGTGTAATAAACATTATTCAGAATACATACATATTGTTGATCTTAATATTCATTTATAGTTTAGATACAGGGTCACCAGATCGGTTTATTCGCATAAATGAGTTCTTTTTTTGTTCACATGGAGACATCATATTATATCAGTGGCGCTACAACCTCTTTAGGTCTGGGACTTTTCTGAACTCCATTTTCAAGATTTCTGAATCTGTTTCATGATAATTTTTCAATCTAATAGGCAAGTAGGGGATCAGCCTCCTGTGCCCGACACATGCCGTCGACTTTTTGGGTCTGAGACATGTCGGTTTGCTCACGATGGTTTCCTTCACTGTTCGAGCGAATGTTAAATGCGCACATAGCAATAAAGTCCATTGGTGCATAGACGGGGATCGAACCTACGACCTTAGGGATGAGAGACGCACGCGGAAGCCACTAGGCCAACACTGCTCAATGGAGACTTAAGGCCAACTTAATATCGAGATTGATTATGGAAATAATTTTACAACAACGGATTATACACCCCCTCAGTAGATTTATAATATGAACAATATTATTTAATGAAACATCTTCATAATAAACCAGCACATAAGTATTGGCCCTCTTTTTAAAAATAAGGCAGAAAGTAGGTCATTATTATTGAAGATATTGAAGATGCATTGTAGGACTTTTTTTTCAAATGCACTTAGCTTTGGAATTAATTTATGTTTTCATTTTAATTTTCTAGTAGAGAAAGGTATGTGAAGAGTATTACGTACCTTAACCCAATAATAAATATAATATATTTTCAAAACAGCACATTTTCATCAAGTACTCTTTAATTACTCTAAGGATTTAAACTCTAAATAGCTATCGCTGATCGCTTGTTTGATATAACTACGCTTTTACTTCGGAAACCAGTGTAATTATACCTTGATGTAGAGCTATTACTGACAAAACCATCCTATTCGAGCAATTGCTCGTTGAATTTCAGTGAAACCGTTTAAAGGATCTCAATAGTGATTTTGCGATTTCAATTAAACTGATATCGGCTTATAAACCGGTCGAACGGCGAATTTGATCGAATACAAAAACTTTTGAGGTTACGGGTTAAGGGAATTAAGCCTTGGCCTCAAATTCACAGTCTTTTTTCTGTAGAGGATAAGACTGCCGATGTTTTTGATCTTAAATATTCTGGTTTCTTCGCGATGTTTCCCTGGACTGTAGGAGTAAGTATTTTACGCTCATGTATAGAAAATCCTTTGGTGCACAACATGATTCAATACCAGTCCTAAGCACCGCCTAACCACCTAACACTGATCGATTGCGGAATTCAGGTAAACGAGAATCATTAATATATTTAAGTTGTTTTTTTTATAGAACTCATCTGATAAGTGATACCGCCGCCCATGGACACTCTCAATGCCAGAGGGCTCGCGAGTGCCTTGCCGGCCTCTTAAGAATTGGTACGATCTTTTCTTGAAGGACCCTAAAGTCGAATTAGTTCGGAATTACTTCAGTGGGCAGTTGGTTCCACATAGCGGTGGTGCGCAACCACCGCTATGTGGAACCTTCAGGAAAGGGATCGGTCGTCGGCGATTCGAGCTGCTCTTCGTTGAATACGGTCAAGTGAAAGGAGCTGGGAAGCTCCCGCCCAGAGGTGAGAACAGTAATCCATGTGCGGCAGAATTTGCGCTTTATACAGTTGCAAGCGGTGGCCCAGAGTGAAGGTCTTGCCTTGAGGAGCACACCAAGCTTTTTCAAGATACAATGTATAGTTAATACTACTAAACGTGTTCAGTTTTTCAATTATTCTTGGTTATTATTTCAATAATATTCAGTCAATTAAATAAACAAATCAATCCAGTTTCTTCTGTTTCAATTTGAAATTTCCCTTTAAATTTGTCCTTAACTAGGCCACTGGTTACCCTTAAAATAATTCAATGCACAATTTTAACTTCAAGCGTGATTTATTCCTAAGCCTTTTGAAATTACAGTCTTATTCATAAAAGTAGTATAAACCTAAATTAGTTCATTAATCTTTCATATTAATTTATCTGCCCGACGAGTGATAACGACAAAACATCCAATGGCTATTACGGGTGAAAGAAGAATTTTCCAAATACTGGTGTTTAGAATACATTTCTGTCCAATGCACTGTAAACTTGAATATCAGCAATTACGCCCATTAATAATTGTATCCGTCTTAAACATATACTTTAGATAATTTTCGTTGCGTATCGGAATTGCAAATAAATACCTCCCCTTCATTAGGTATACAGTTAAGAACAAGTTAAAATCTATTTTATTTCAAGTATGCTATGTCATATTGATTAGTTCAAAAAATTATGACTGGGAAAATGGAGGGAAGGAGACTGAAGGAACGCAGCCCAATACGATGGACCGACCTAGTTGAACACTTAGGCACTACAGTCTCAGGAGACGGAGGTGTTAAAAATGTGTGCTAGTACAGAATTAATATGTCAACAATAGGAAGGATCATATCCCGACCAATGCAATCATAACCAATGGCTTTGGACGAGACAGACATGATATTCCTCTAACTTCTTCTTCTGCAATCGACTGGACCGAAAAAGAAGTAATATTCGTAGTAGGACAAAAGTTAAGAGATGCAATGGTTTGAGATTTAATGCTTTGATAAAAAGTGGAATGACGGGAGAAATGTTGATTAAGCCGGTCAAGATTCAAATTAGCAGAAAGTGACTGTTGCTGTTCGTATAATGATGAAAAAAGATGTTTTATATAGGTTTAAACTTTAATCCTTTTCAGGAATATTCTATACGACTTTATAATAAATTCGTGAGAGAAATATAAGTGCTTTCAGTAAATTTAAATCATATGCAAAGGCTACAGTGTTTGTAAATGAGTTGCACCATATCCTATTTACACATTGTGTTGGATAAAAATCTAAACCTGGTGAACCCTAGTATCTCAGCCAACCTTGGTCGTCCCTGTAAACTTAAAGTTCAAGACGTCACATATGACGAAAATTATTTAACATGCAATACATAGTTCTATCCTCAGATTAGCAGGCAAGTAGCTTTTTATCCACCCAAAAAAAAAAAACAAAAAAGAATTATTTAACTGTTTCTTATTTTCAACATTTAATTTTATATTATTTACTACACACCTTTACACAAGACTTCATTACTTACACTGCTAGCTTTTACTAATTTTTTTTCTTTTACTAAGTATTATTACATTCCTTTTCTTTTTTTGCGACTGAGGAGCAAACTAGCTGCTGTGGTCTCTGGCAGAATGAACAGCGCTGTGGAACATTCTGCTCCTCAGCATAATGCTGAGCCAGGGCCAATTACAGCCACAGCACACACGCATTGCACACTTGTTTCTGTTTGTAATAAATTATATGACTATTTCGGTAGAATTGTACGGATTAAAATCTGCGGAAATTTCATCGGAGGTCGAAGTAACATACGTAATTTTACCTGTATTGTCTATGTCCGTCATCGTTAGTCTCTCACCACATTTCGTAGCATTTCTGACTAAAACTCTTCAAGAAACAGCGCATACTGAGTGTATAAAATCCTAGAAAAGTACTGCCAGACAGGCGGAATCAATGACACGTGGAAAGATTCCTAGCCGCTGTTACTAACATGGAGGCTGATTGATAGATTGTGACATCATGTTAAACTTTCTCAGACTATTCTACAATATATCTTAGATAAGGTTTTTCTGTGATGTTAAAACTATCGTATCCAGGGTAGATTAAGGTTGATTATAAAAAAACGATCAATAAAATAGACACAGTGAGGCGAACAATATTTTTACATATTCAAGTACATAGTGTATAGAAGGTATTTTCAGGCAAGTATTATGTATATTCGGGTTCATATATGCAAACTGTTACGAAGACGGGTGGAATGAAATGTTTCTCGATTTTACTACAACATAAAGGCGTTTTTAGCAAGCTGAAGTGTGATTTTATGAAATATAATCGTTTAAAAAGAGGCTGTATCACATATTAGATAGTTGAAAACGACACGAAGTTACCTTGGTTGTCAGGGGGCTGGAAGCTTTCGGATATTTCAGATCAAGCCTAGATACACTATAGAAGAAAATACAATACGCGAGTAACCACTTTACACAGACAAATGAATTAAAACCATTTATTATGGAGGTAATAGTATTTTTAATTGTTTATTTTTTACTTCATTTATACATTAAAATTATATAACTAATTACAAAAATTATATAACTTAATTACATTGATAAAACGTAATCTAATTATTGTACTTTTATTTTACAACGTTTATTTTATAAATTAGAAATTTCACACAGATATAAATGATATATTAACGTTTTCAAATAAATCTAACAATCAAACAATAAATTAATTATATTTCACAAACAATAATAAAATTAAAAAAAAAAAGACAGCTAGGTGACGCACGGACGGTGAGTAAAATTTTGTTTAAATTCATTCTAAAATATAACAAGCTCGAGACAATACAACTATACATGAAATATCTACAAACAAAACGTCACAAGTATTTGTGCGAATTTAGGTAATTTTAAAGGAAATAATAAAACAAACATTTTCGATATAAGGGTAAGGTTTAGAACTCGGTGCGAACTACGAAGTGTATGTCGAAATTAAATAAGTTTTTGTATATTATATACATTTACACGGTAGACATAATTAGCTTTCACACAACATTTGGTCGGGTGTGGCTTAGCTGAGTTTAGATCATTGTATTCATACACGATGACCTCGCTCAAGTCTCATATGGCCATCGCTTAGTTATTCGTATGTCACAATTTTCTAAATATAGAAGTTAACTTAGCATTTACAAATAGTTTTCGACTCTAAATCTTACCCTATGAGTTTTAACTTTTTAAATATATGTACATATCGGCTTTTAATGTATACTGGACGATATAAAGGAATTAATTTGAAGTAATTAAACAAAATAATGGTTAGAAATAGAATCTTTATATAATAAATACTATCTTCACATAAGCTATATTAAACATCTTGACAAAAATAATATGTAACGCATTAAATCTAACGGTACTTCACGTGAGCCACGGCATAACGATATTAATCACAATAATACAATATATACAAAAACATTACAATTACAAAACTTGATATGTACAAAATTCTATACATAGTGACATAAATAAATTCTTAAATACCATCTTAACTAAATTACATAAAATTATGAGTTTTCCAATTTATCTAGTATTTACATTATAAATTATAGAATCACAATGTAACATGAGTATGAAAATCAAATAAATTCCAAATAACTATGCAGTCGGTTATATAAGTTCAGCGTGAAATATTTACCGCTAGTTAAATGTCGTCCAGCCCTTAGACATAGAACTAGACTCTTGGTCACTAGAACTACTCGTGAAGTTCAAACTAAATTGGCTGAAATCTAAGCCGTACTCGTGTAAAAGCGCACTATCGGTAGTTGTGTTAAGTTTTTCGATTTGGTCATTTTTATCTCGGTACCGGAGCGGATCAAAGTCTTCGAGAGCTGGCGATGAAACGTCCAGTTTAATAAGATCCACATCTGGGTCACATGACTGAAAAGAACACACTGTTAACACTAAGCGATAGAACATGCAGACTTCTACCCACCTTGCAACACTGACCAGGACCAACCAAACAGGACGAATTCGAAATAACGAGCACTGACAACGAAACACAATCAGGACAAATACAAAACTCATTTAATAAGAACTTACCAAATAAATATAATAAAATTTTGACTGTTAATCTTAAATACTTTCGTTTTCAAACTTCCATACTACAAGCTTAGTCGGTAATATTATCTGAAAAAGAATTATTAAAAAAATCTTTCGCCCTTTATTCAATTTTAAACTTTAAATTATTGAAATATGGCTATTTATAGCACCTATTTAGCCTTAGCAAGGAATTAATGAGACAATTTTTATCAATTTAGTAAGACATCGACTCGAGAATGTATTTAAAATAGTATACAAACAGAAATATTTGCAATAGAACTTTTTCATTAATAAGTATTATTTATTAGCTTACGATGCATTTAGCATTACTTACTATACATACTAGTTTTACACGTATGTTAAAAATCAACCAAAATTGTGCGAAAACCGTGTATAAACCGTGGCAAGTTATCAAAGTTGTCCCTCGGGAACAATACACCACATTCAGGTTGGTTTGATTTCCAGGTCAGAATTGCACTAAAAAGTACTATACATATGTAATAATATGTACACAAACCACGCGTAAATGTAGCAATAAATTTATATGAATGCAATTTTTCTAGGTGCAGAGTCATACATAGTGCAGTGCAGACATGCAGCAAGACTGGTAAGGATAGCAAATAATAGAGGTATCTCGATTTATTGTACTGTGTAAACTCTTTATAACGAATTTCAAAGGAACGAGCATATTTGTCGTTATAGGGAGAGAAGAGAAAAAACACCAAATATAACCAATTACAATAATTTATATATATAATAGATAGCTGACAATGGTGCGTTTAGTAACTGAGGCCAAAATTTCCTACAGGCAATGTAATCTAGGAATAATGGCACACGTATTAAAGCAATTAACAATAACAAAGGCGAGACGGCTGTTTATGACCTCGGCCTTTCTAGAAATTTCGGCACCTCAATAGGTTAGTTTTGTAATCTGATTATAAAAACAAATACATACTTAAGTATGTTGTTGATGTTTAAATATGAAAATATTTCTTCGTAATAGGTTGTTGCGTTATAAAAAAGGATTAATGTAAGGGTTTTGTATTGAACCAACCAAATTATATTTTTTTTCCGCTATAGAGAGTTTAGCGAAACCGTTATAAAGACTTTACACTGAATATAAAAAAATTAAATAACTACTACTAAGCAAGCGTCGATAATTACTATAAAATATTAAAACCGACGTTTTAAGTAACAACATAGTACATGCGAAAGGGCGAATCTTCAAAATCAATTAGTTTTAAAATCGTTACATCTGACGGGCTGACTTTCAATTTCATCCCTACCATTAAAGCTTAACCAGATTAACATTTAAGTTTTTAGATGTCAAAAATATTGATTGCATTTTTTAAAATTCCTTTATGTTTGAAGGATAACGAAAATAAAACTTCTTTCATTGAATTATATATTTTTTATTTATAACTTATTATTACATTGAGCACTGTATACATTTTTTATTAGTTTTTAACATAACAAATGAAAAATACATATAGCTTTTATACATTGTTTCATTGTCAAGGCTTAGCCAACAAAGAACTTTAAAAAATGCTTTCTTCAATATATTTTGACTCAATAACAATAATTATTCATTCGTTTTTAAAGTTTCATCCTATTCATACAATCACAACTGACTTGGTCACATGTTATTATTAATTACAGTTAGTATCACATTAAATCCCTAGATAACGAGAGTAATTTCAAAACTACCTACTTAGTTTTTTATAAACGTAAGATATCAGTCAATAGTCAAGTTACGACTTAGAAAAGTTTCAAAAATATATTTTTTTGTATATTAATGTACGTTATGAGGCCGGACATATGTATAGTGGACCATGAAAAACATGAGCATACATAGTATTTCTACATGAAAAGCATGCATAACAAAATAAAGCATAACAAGCAAACAGGACTAGAATAGAAAACCACGCCAAAATTCATTTTAAAGTTTTAGAAACGTTTTAATTATAAGAAACATTCACTGAAATCACCTAATTTACATAGAAACTTTTTGTTCATTAATATATTGGAATACCTGCGTCAGAAAATACATTCAGCGTTAATTAATACGTGGTAAGTGCGATATCCTTAGTTATATATGAAGAAGTTAATGATTAATTCACATGTTAAGGTAATTACGAAAACAACTACGCAATAGAAAATTACCTCTACACGTCCCGTTCTCATTGCTTCCGGCCGCTTTTCTTGCACAGCCCTGGGTTGTGCATTCCCATTGCAATTAGGTCGTGTTTGCTTCACGGTTAATTGTAATTTGGGCTTATTAGTTCCTTCTGCGAAGCTGAATGTGCTCGTACGGAATTCGGCCACCTTTGGCTCATTTCTTGTTATATTGCTTACGAAACACGCCTTAGGAGGCTGTATGGACCGCGGTGGAGGCATCGGGGCTTCAGAAAAATCTATTAATTTCTTGGTTGACACAATTGGATAACGGTGACGGGTTTGGGGACGTGCCGGTAAACGAGGTGGGATTTGTGGTAACATGGTTTTCTGCAAAACAAAAGTAAAGCACGAATCGTCCTATTCAAGGATAAGGCAACTTAAACTTTATACGCATTTACTATTAAATGCTTGAATAAAACAGAAAGCCAATTGAGTTTATAGAATAGTTAAATTACATTATCGAGTTTAGTAGAAACGGCAAACTTCATGGCACACGCAATTTCTTTTTCCACGGTACAGAAACCTATTTGCCTAACATACAAAAATATGATTTTTGTTAAAATCATATTTATTCTTAAGTCTCATTAAATGACACAACAATTATTGCGTACATATACAATTATTATATTAGGAATGACATAAATTATATGTCATCAAATAGATAATCATTCTTTTAGTTAGAAACTACTTGCTACATTACGTTAATCGGCTTTCTGTTCAAGTTTAGGTGTCTTATCTCGAATTTGAACGACATAGTTAAGCAGAACAATTACAGGTACATACAATGCAATCGGATTGTGGCACGTGCTTCCTACATGGATGTTTACGAATAATCTTTAAAAAAGGTTAATATTTTTTATATGTCAAACATCCCTGTGAATGTTGCCTCTAATCATGCCCACATAGCACATAGAAAGCTGAACTTTTCGACTAATTCAAACATTCAATAACGCAAAACATTTCATAACTCTTGACACGTTGACTTCATGCTACTTAGAAGAGCAAGACCCAATAGATTGACTCACTATTTGAAGTATAATTAGAATTACGTATCAAAAGCTAAGAGTGAAATGAGAATATATGATGAAATAGAACAGAAAAGTTTACCGAAAATGTCTGCCAATCAGACATGTTGGAAAGCTTAAGTGACGAGTTAGAATACTAAAATTAGTACGCAAGTGCAACGTGTCAACCAACATTAACAATTGTTTTTCACTTTATATATGACAATACCTCTTAACCACTCGTAATAAAGCTATTTAACTATGAGGGTGTTTAAAAAAAATACGGTATATTAAAAAGTCAGACATTTTCGGGTGTAAAGTGCAAATGTTAACTCACAGGTTTGTCGGGCAAGCTAATTTCGGGGCTGTGCTCGGCGCTAGGGAAATTGTCGTTTCTATTAAGAAGGAACTCCATCTCGGTTAAGAGATCAAGGGATGCTGTGGACGGTGGTTCGTGAGAGCGTACATTCGTCGGGGAAGAGTCAGATGATGTAGACACCGGCGTTACTGAGCCGCAGGAGAATCTGCGAAGGAATTTATAACACTCATGTTATGTTTTGATCCTTCAAAAATCTAAAATATAAGCAATTCTTATCCAATTATTATATTATTAATGTAAAATTATAATATTTTGTTTTAATTTCAATCTCTATGTTTTGGGAAATTTAATATTTTTAAGTTTTATTTAATCATTAATTTTAACTTTCTTGTATTAACTTAAAAAAACAATTCTTTTTACATTTATGTTTTCTATCATTAGGTTACCCGTATGAGATCGCCGCCCTTGTGTTTTGTTTGTTTGCTTGTATAAGGGTGAATAAATAAAAACTATTTCATTTTTTAACACCAAAGGCTACTCACATTACGAGTTTTCACTTTTTAGAGTAAATTTTCTTTTAAAATGTCGGCAACGACCGCCGTCTTCTTGAATAAATATTTCAAAAAAGTGCCGTTAGTGAAAGTGTTTGTACTTTATGAACTGGGCGTCAGATCTTTAAAAAAAATTGTCTTTAAATATATTTTTTATATATAAGTGATCAGCCTTCTGTGCGTGACACAAATCGAATCTAATCTAATGTGATCATGCATGGTTTCACGATGTTAACCATATGGTTAATAATAATGACATTGTACCTGCTATCATCTGTTGTGGTGACGGAAGAAGGACGAGACCGCGATTTAGGCATTTTAATCTTCAATCCCTTTACAGCCGACTTCACGTTTTTACCTCCTTGCCGAACCTATTGAGAAAAATATTTATTATAAAATATACAACCTAAATTGCTGCATAGAAAACACAGGCTTAATTCATGCGAGCGTCATTTGCATTTGTGAAGAAGCGAATACTAACAATCTCCCATATATGTATATATAATTTTTATGACCCAAGGCCGTTCGGATTTTCATGGTCACTTGATTTGATCAATATAAACCAGATTGCTTCAATACATTGAATTCTCTCGAGCTAAGATCTCCAGATTAATTTGTATTATTGATTACGAGTTCAAAAATTGTATGAAACGAATTTTCCTGCTGATAGTTTTTTTAAATATGAAGTAGTTATAATAGCAATCGTTATATATCAGCATTATAATTAATTAATAAATCTGCTATATTCATGCAAGCACGCACCATTACTAACATTTATTTAATTTGATGTGTAAACATTGTAATATGTTTCTTCTAAATCGTTCTTAAAATCAAATGGATAACACGCAACTACGACATGCAAACATGCAATAATATACACTACTTTGTGAAATGTACGATTTAAGTCCTTGTGTATGAATCCAAATTAAAATCAATTTTATTTTTTTATAAAATAATATAGCGCAATGAAAGTTATATTATTTAAAAAGACGACTTAACCTATAATTTACGATTTATCACATCACAAAAAGCTTTAATACAGAACATCATAACATATAAAAAGTCAACAAACAACAACAATCTTTTAAGGTCTGGCCTCAAATTTCTGTATCTGTTTGGTGATCCTTTGGTTTTTCTAATAGGCAAGTAGGTGACCAGCCATCAGTTGCTGAGACAATGCTACTTTTTAGGTCTAAGGAATAGCACTTTCCTCACGATGTTTTCCTTCATCGTACAAGCGAGTCTTTTTTTATATCAAAAATAAGGTATTCTTTGAGAACTTTCTACCTTTTAAGTATTATCGAAGTGGGGTTAAAATGTTCATGTACGGGGGTGTTGAATAAATAGTGATAATGCGATATATTCGCCTTGCAAAAAACAAAGGCGTAAGATATAGATAAAGCAATCAATTCTCTTTTGTTTCAAAATATAGTTCATTTGTTTGCGTCGTTTCGGAACGTGGATAAAATTGAAGTTCGTACAAATTCGGTAAATCAAGACCTGAGGGTAACATTAGGGGTTAATTCCTCCACGTTGTATAGTTGCGCGTTGGTATGCGTTTCTATAGAAAATGTTCTACACATACACAACCAGGGTATGAAAAAGTGACAATGTCAGAAGTGCTTAGTGCTTTCTGACGCGCAGATACAAAAGATACCGAGAATTTCACACCAGCTGTGTTGGTTTTTTTTTGATTTGTTATATTAATTTTGACCGATTTTTGGCTTGGTTCATGAACGAAAAATTGCATCTCTATTATGACCCGGAAACGAAATGACTATGACTTGGCAGAGACTGTCACCTCAGACTCCAAATAAATTCAAGGCAATCTCATCCACCAGTACGATGATGGGCCGTTTTTCTGGTACAGCTAGGGGTGGTAATGATCAAATACATGAAGCAGGAGACATTTTACAGGGAGGAATCCCCTATAGTTGTTTTGTTTCAGCGAGATTATGCCCACGCGCAGATGTCCAGAGTTAGAGCAAATGGCAGCAATTCGATAAGCTGGCTTCGACTTAATGAAACATACTTCATATTCACCGGACTCCTAGCGATTTCTACCTATCTCTGCATTTAAAGGAACTTTGATGATGATGACGACGCAGTAGTGGCCGCAATTTTTAAGGAACAGAAAGATTTTTTTTAAAGAGAATTTTTGTTTAGAAAAATGATTTTATCTATAAACCTGAAAGGTAGGAATAAAATAACATTTAACAAAAGATGCGTCATACTCATTATCACTTTTTATTAAACACTTCTAGTAATAATGAAGTATCGAAGGACATAAATCTGATAGCCAATTTATTGATAAATATGTATAAAATATTATAAAGCTGTTAAGAATTGTTAAGCATCCTAATATTTAAAATTTATTACATTTTATAAAATATTTTTAAACAACACATGAAGCAATGATAACAAAGACACAAATGAACTCACCGTCTTCACCGCCGATTGGACCGCGGGATTCGCCTGTAAATATTCACATTTTAAAGCAACAAACTCCCAAATACACCATGCATATACTTTACCTGTCGCATCTATGTTAGAACCGTAAATAATACCTTATCCTTGACAGTTTTGAAAAAGGCACCACCTTCTTTCTTAACATTTTTAGCCCAGTCCTTGTATTGTTGCTTTAGCTTTTGACCGCTACTGGAGCTACTTTTGTCATAATAGAAGTTGCATTCAATTTCGAATTCATCGTTAAATCCTTTCCCGGAGTTAATGAGGTCCAGCCTCTCTTCTATAAACTGAAAATTTAATAATACTGTATCAGATTTCTATGTGCAGACAAAATATTAGTCTACATATCTCTAAATCTCTATCATCCCACGAGAATGTAAGTGCGTGCTCCTATTTCGCCATGCCTCCTACTGATAGAGGACAAATCTTTGTTTTGAATTTATATATAAGACACAGGGTGTAGGCCGCGACAAAAAGCCGGCGTAAAAAACTCTCGGTATTTTTTTAAAATAGTAAAAAACTCTTTTAAAACAAATATCGCAAATTAATTAGACGGGAACTGTCTAACACTAGTCCTAGGCCCTTTTATCAACTAGATAATCGTTAACTTGATAGTAAGCCTTTTTTTCCCAAAAAATAATTAGTAACTTTAGATAGTCTAGTACGGGGAAATTGCAGCCTGCGTTCGTTCCGAGTATTAACATTATGCGTATTTTCTATTCCAGTAAACTTCTCAGTATTTTTGTACATATACATAATATTTTCAGAAATATATTGCGGGTGAAAAGTTAAGTATATAAATTTCCTTGAATTTATCTCTCAGAGATTTCCTACATTTTATATTATAGAATGCACGAATAGTGAAACAATAGTAAAACGCTTTTGCTCTTTAGTCTAAGTAAATAAATGACATTAAGTTATTTTTTAACTATTTACACTAATAAAATAACAATGTTTAAATCGTCAAATAGGAAATTGCTCTCATTTGATATATATATTAGTATTATAGTAATATATTAGTATTCTAGTAATAATACCAACCTTCTTTTATTTATCCTGAAAAAAAAATGTATTCCCGAGAATTTTGTGGGTAAAGATACAAACACTTTAGCTCTTTAGCCAATAGCCGGTTTTTAAATCCGGTTAGTTGATAGATGAACACAATATTAAGTTCATTAATGTGAAACAGATATAGAAACTAGTAGTACTAGTACTGAACTGCATAAGGTTTTTCTTAACGGCATTAGATGAGTTGAACAATCATGATGAAGTACTTACTTGCTGAAATATTTGGGACTCCAGCATTTTACTAAGAAATTGTTGCATATGTTTTCGTGTCTTTAGAAATGTTTCAGAACTGAATTCAAATTGTTCGTTCTCTATGCTGAAATTGAATTATTATATATTTTTGGGATATTAAGAAGTATTTTAATAATATTAAGAAGTCTAAATAAATTAAGTGTAACTTCGTAACTTGTGGCACATAGTACCGAGGTCCCGGCTTAACTTAGTCCCGGATAAACCTTTACATTTAGCATATACGTAAAAATTTGTGTTAACAATATATTTTTACATAGAAACTAGGCAAAAGGACCGTATTTGTATTAAGCAGCAAGCAAGCAGAAAATACAATATTTATATATTATAGGAAACAAATATGAAATATCTATGCTATTTACGTCAAACGACTCTGTAATATAAAAAGAATTATGTAAATTTTCTTACCAAATTGCGTCCCTATATCCTCCAATCAAACAAACTAACGCACGAAGAAACGCTCTTGATACAGCGTCACCTAATGCATTTTTATCGCCTAGAGATTTTTTTAAATTTACAACCTGAAAATAATTAAGCATTCAGAACATTTTTAGTAATTATTACTCTTTTTACAAAATTTCAAATCAATCACTAATAAAACGATTTTTCAAGTATATTACAAGAAATTTCTTATTCAGACTGACACAAGTTGGACAATTGACAATGTATTACTTACCAACATGTGCGGAAGACTTTCAGAGTCATTAAATGGAGATCTTAATTCGTTTGTATCTATATCTATTATCACAATTTCACCGAGATCTGACATTCTCACCGTCTGAAATGAAAATACACAAGATACATTTTAACACCACTTGAAGTGGAAGTGTAACTAATAGTTTTATAACACAATTTATTCGAACAAAACTTTAATAAAAGAATAAAATTGTCTATTAACATTACTACACTAGAGAAGCATACTTATATAAAAAAACTTATTTTTTTAGAATTTTACATAAAATTAAGAAGCTTAATTATAGAACAGGGTGCAAAAGGGGCCCGAGTCTTAAGTGATGTCAAACCTTATGAACACACAATTTAAGAGGGCCACCGAGCCAAAGTGAAAGAACCCAAAGGTCCACAAAACCCTTTTAAATTTAAAAGATTATAAATATGAAAGTATAATCATAATAATATTATTATAATAGTTGTTCTATGTGTGCTTCAGGCAATTACGATTAGCAATAACATACCTCAAAAACACTTCTAGGAACTCCGATAAGAAATGGCATTGGAGCAAGCAGGTAATCCACCAAAAATTTGGGAACTATTGGAATGTATATGTGTTGCCAGGACATAGGAAATAACAATGCATTAGCAGCTTGCACACATGCAGATAGGCGCGATGGTTTCGAAGCAACTAATGCTATCCGACGCTCATTTAATAATGCCGCCCATAAACCAATCATGCAATCAGCGTCTAAGGCACTGAAGAATTCCGTGAGGTTACACTGAGAAAAGACAATGAAAATATTTTCAAATATTGTTTTAATTTAAAAAGTAAACTTAGCACAAACTATTATATAGATTAAATATTTGGTACTTATTTGGTAACAGTATACGCTTTTTATTTAAAAAACAGTGTGAAATTGTATAAAGCTCCTTTGGGTTTTTTAAGTTGATTAAAAGTTAAGTTTTAGCACAATATCATTGTAAGCAATCTTCTTGAACGCATATTTGAAATAAATATCAAACTTACATTCTCCGGAATACTTGGTAATTTTTCATCTGGACACTGACAAGAGAACACACTGTGACTAGCATTATATGTCACTTTTAAGGTGTCTCCAGGCATTGGGGGCCGAATTCTGCATGCTTCCAAAAATGATTTCAATTCACCACGCTCAGGACTGTTTAGTAAGTTTGCTATGCAGTTTAATAATCTGAAAATATATATAACAATTTGCAATTTTGTCTATGTTTATGAACTTTAGAAACACATTAATAACAAAAACAAACAATGTTTTGCAGAAGCTCAGTCTAAAAGTGGCAACGCTTAGCTCGCTATGTTTTACAAATATAAAGCTGGATGGGAATTTGAGTGTGATTGCAAAGCAAAAATATTATTCTTTGGATTGAAAAGGACATAAGGCTGATCACACACTAACTTAATTAAAAAACTCATTACTTAAAATGTAATTAGATTAGGATTAAATAAACTATAATAATACAAAATACATACTAAATATAATAATAATACAAAGTTATTTTTCCATAAATCGCATAGCATCATTGCATTGTATTTAATATCAAGACATGCATTTTGAATATTATATTAATTAATATTAATTATATTAAGTTTATTAATTAATTAAAATCACAATATAAAACACAAATTAATTTAAACACAATATTAAATTTCATAAGACTAAAACCTAGTTTAGAAATGTTTTGTGTAAATAGACATTTAAAATATGATCAAATCTTGGGTAATAATTAGGTTACCCTCAGACTATTACAAACTCGCAAGCATTTGGGTAACCACAAGCAATTTAAGAATCTTAGAGCAGAATAGATAGATATAGTAACAAAGTCATTTTTTTACCAATAAATAAAGAAAAACAAGAAACTTTTTTCAAGCAGTTCTTTTGCAAACTAAAAAGTAAACTATGCTAATAAACTTACTTGTTACTAGTACTGGTAACAATAAATGTTATAAGTAACAGTAAAATGCGTAAAAGATCAATATGTACACGATCGATGATTGTATAAATATATTAACTTATATGTAGAAGTGTCTGTCTGTTAACTTATTTCATACTCACTTATAAAAAATATCATGCCATGGAATGTGTGATAACAGAAGCAGAGTTGTGTTAGCCTTCGGATCATATCGGCAGAATCCAAATGTGTACTTAGAATCTACTGAGGTCAGAACAAAAGAATAGTGTTGGACATAAGATCTGTAACAATATATTTAAGATAAAAAATAACTATGGCATCTAAACACAGAAAAAGTCATTATCACAGATGGTAAAAATTTCATCACCATTTTTTATTATAATGTGCAATTAAAACAATAACATAATATATCTTACTTATCAAGGGGGCAGGGGAAAGCAAATTTTGGGATGTGTTTTAAGTTTTCTTCATTGTCATAAGATTCTGGATATTTTTGTATTATTGAAGGTTCCTTAATTGGTGACACTTCACAAAACAATTCGTAAAGATGGCGCACAGATCCTCTGAAACCAAAATTTTCTGGTTAGGATTGTTCTGAAATTATTATGAAAAATAATAAAATAATTAATATAAACTTGCTATATCAGACTATGCCATCAATGCCACATCTAGAAAAAAAACAAATTCGAACATCTGTGTTTTGCTTGGTTGACTGATCATGTTTATTATGTCTACCCACATTTTTGTTGCTGTTTTGTTTTGTTATTTTATATATGTACCTACATCTGTGCGCTCTAATTTCTAATTTTTAATCTTAGTTTTAAATATTGTTTCTCAGTAAGTGAATTATGTATGCAATTCTTGTGAGAAATAAAGTTATTCTTAAAGCTAAAAAAACCTAAGTATTTACAATATCTTTATTGAATATAAAGCACAATAATAAGGATTGACAAAACTTGATGAAATTAATGCTTTCAGACATTTTGTATGTTATTCCAACATAGATTGCAATCACATTATATTCTCTTATAGGTATAAAAATGTATGCATTTACCATAATGTCAAATGAAAATTGTATACACTGTTAATATAATATAATGAAGCATCACATTGCAACACTAAAGTATAACACAATGCTTTCTACATATATTATTTTACTGTCTTACTCATAAAATAAGTTTTCGAGTTTGTTATGATAATGTTACTTAATTATGCTATGAAAGACCTGGAAGAAATGAAATTATGCCATTATACAAATACTTTAAACTTCTATAACCATTATTACTAAGTATCTAGTATCAGTCAGATCGGATCATAACTGAAGAAGAATTATCTCTAATCACTTTCTTTATTGTTTTTCAATAAAAACATGTTTGTCACTAAATGTGTATATTTGTGTATGGGATTAAATATGAGATGTTGTATATACATGTACCAACAAAAAAAACATGTTTTATGCATTATGTGGCATTTCTCCCAAGGTACAGCAGCAGCAGCAAGGCAACAGTAGTAAAGATATTCATTGGAAAGACCAGCAGACTTATCGACGTCGCCTGAAACATTAAATTAAATTGGTGCTCACTTGATCCGTGTACCCATGCTGCTGATGGAGATATTCTTCTAACAACTTCCTCAGCTGCACCCTTCTTCTGAGGCTACTGTTGCTGTGACGGCATTGTTTCCAGTTGGAGGAGATTGGTAGCTACGCTTTTAAAATCTTATTGTATCTTGTAATCGAATATTCAATAAATTTAAGCACGATAGTAGGCGGTTCATAAGCGGAAACCAAAGAGCATATAATCACTTCGTGGTCGAAAACGGAAACTGGAAGAAGGCCATCAAAACATCAAACTTCAAATCACTTCTAAAGCTCCTACAAAGTCAGAACTGCAGAGTGCAGACTGCGTTTTAGTACAATGTACATAGGTTTGGGTCAATATTCTGTGGACTCTTACGTTTGTCATCAACACAGATTATACACAACATGCTCAACACAAAAGAAGTATTATCACAGATGAGTAACCAATAACTTTAAAAATAATATTATTCTTATTCTAAGCATAACATCGAGAAACCAAATGCATAAAATAACAAGGGCTTCAAACAATGTAATAATTTTTTTTTATTGGTGGGCTAAATACAATTTATCAAATACCCTAGAACGTTAGATGCCATAAGCATTTTAAATATAATAATTATTGAGAATGCATTTGTTAAAGTTATTTAAGTGACATACATTATAATGAAAATATAATACTCAAAACTTCCTTATTGCTCCTAATATAACATAATAACATAACGAAATTTTACCTAAGCCTTAAATAGTTAAATTATATAATATATAATTGATTCTCTGGTGAGATCTTTTTTTTAATTGGAAAGTTAAGAAACTACGTTCTATAGCCATTATTAAATGATTTAAAATGTTTTTTTTTAAATCTTGTCAAATGCCGCATAATAAAGAAATAATATTGTTATTATTTTAAGTAATAGTATCGACTTAGGCTTATGCTATACTCACTCACCAGCTATAGTAATTAAGTGTATTAGCGTACAAAACATTGTGTACAGTGTTAATATATTTTACAATATTAAAAGTAATGTATGTACACATTATATTATGCTACTTTCATAATTCATATATTTTATCAGACTACCTTCTTTATATCTATAATTCAACACCCCAAATATTTGATTTCCTGAAGAATAATTAAATTTTATGAAGAATAATTAATTGTGGTACTTATAATTAATAATAACCACTCAGCATTATACATTTTAAATTATTTTTAGAATGAAAAAGAATGATATAATTAAAATATATCATATATAGTTTATTATCTTTTACTTATTTGCATGGCCTAAAAGAGTGCGGTGCCTTTAGTAGTTCTTGTTCAAGCAAAATGAACTTAAGGAGGTTAATTATCATTGTCAATGTCAGATATTGATACTTGTTCTTGACATTAACGTAATTTACCTAAACCTAATTCATATTCATTTTGTACATCAATGCCCAATCACCAATGGCTCATCGCTTAATGCTACCATGATTGTTTATCAATGTTAAATAAATAATCAAGAACTTTAAATCTTGAAATTTAAATAAACTAGATTTGTGTAGTGACAATTTCTTAAGTATTTTATTATTTGATCTGCGGCCCCGCTGATACGGTAGTTATTGCTTTTGATTTATTGCATAAATTGAAATATAATAACATTTATTGTTCATTATTATTACTTACATTGTCTTACAGGAGCTTCTATTTTTTACTTAATAACTCTCAATATTTTAGTTGTAAAATGTATAAACCTGACCTGTTGTTACAACAAGTGAAAAAGTTGTCTTTGTAAACATTGGTTTTTTAAAATCCACTAATGTTTTCTTCTGTTTCAGGGTCAATATTTAGAATTATTCGGACTCATGCTGCCATTAAACATGAAAATAGACAAGAAACTTTTGCCAATTAAGGGTCATTTTATACTTTATAGTGCTGGTAAGTAAAAAAAGAACTTGCAAAAAATTCTTGGTAGTTACGGTTTCAATATAATAGAGTTGTAGAAACAGACTAATCATTTACAGTCCTAAGCAGATGTAACCTTGCCCTTATTTCTAGGGAACTTATTTTATAACTATCCTTTATAATTAAAAGGATCATTTGTTGTGTGTAGTTATTGTAGTAAAGTGTATCACTTATATTATTGCTATTTTCTTAATATTTTATTAGACCACCATTATACAGTTATTTATTTTATGTACATACTTCACAACATTTTATCATGATTAACAGTTATCTCTGTCATATCAAATCATAATCAAATAGGTCAGTGGATATGAGGTTATTTTTTTTGTAGCAAACTAAGATCCCTAAATCTTTATTTTTAGGTACCGCTCCACTTATCCCCTATTTGTCTACATATGCAAGACAATTGGGATTTTCATCGACGACTGTTGGCCTAATCTACACAATACTACCAATTTTTAGTCTTTTAGCAACACCAATTTTCGGTTTCTTAGCAGATAGGTATGTTATTGCTGATTATTTGGTACATAAAATTTTAACATTACAATTATAGCTATAATGCATTCAATTGTGGACTACAAAAGATCTATTTTGGGTGTAAAAAGTAATTTCTTGTTTTTTTTAATGTTATGTAATAGGAGGCAAACGGGCAGTAGGCTCATTTGAGACACGCACATTGCCAGAATGCTCACATTTTAAGGGATTGGTAATTGTACAACAAACTTAAATTTCAATATGTGCTAGTAAATATTATATAATACTTTTGAAACATCAAAATACTACAATAAAAAAGCCCATTAAATACATAATTAAGGTTGACCTTAATTTATTTCATACAAGATGCACTGATTAATCAAATAGGTATTTGTAATAAAAATTATATGTATAAGATTTAATAATAAATGATTGAATTTTTCTCATTAACATAAATTATTATAAGTTTGTATGTAATATGTGACAGTATTTTGTACACATTAATAAAAAAATGTAACAGAAATTATGCATCATGCAATTTGATATGGCAGCAGGTGGCATATAGTGTTGATTATCATATTACGTTCTTCATGCTTTTTATTGTTAAATGAATTAACTGATACAACAAGGCTATGCATATAATATATAATGGCATACACACTTTTGATTAAATTGCATTTGTAGATTAGTGGTTTATTTATTATACCTCAGTAGTTTTGGATTAACATTCTGAGCAATAAAAATTGTATAGGCTTGAAAATGTTATCGGAATTCATGATAGAGAAGCACTATTATAATATGAGCATTAACATTTTCCAAATAAAATAATTGTAATGTTTCAGGTTTAGAATACAAAAAACCATATTCATATTCTTTCAAATAGTAATCATTGTAAGCTTTGCCAGTATATATTTTATACCTCAAAGTGGATTAAATCTTACGGTAGAGCTAGATTGTGGTGATGGTGCTACAGTACTAAAAAGTTGTTATAGAAATGCTAGAGAAATTGACCAATGCAGTGTCATGTCTTTGGGTAGTCAAAATTCCACTACACAATGCAAGGTATGTATTCAAATGTAAAAGGTTTATGTAGTAGTATATCTATCTCTACAATATATTTGAACAATAAACTAATTGATACATCTGCCTTAAATTTGTTGACACATCTATTAGTTCCATTTTTTAAATATCAGACCAGTTTTTAAAAGAGCAAACTTATACAATGCTTATTTATTATCACATTATTAAAAAATAGAGTTAAAGATTTTTAATTATTTCCTTCATTTTTTAGATGAGCTGTGATATGACATCGCCAAAAATGTGGCAAACGGTGTGTGAGCATTGGCATATACCGAAATATTGTTACAGTCATACAAATAGTATAAATTATACGTCTTTCATTAGTAATATTAGTATGAAAGAGGATAAATGTGCTTACATATCAACAGACAATGTGACGCTGGAAGGTAAGAAAATATCTGTAAGCAGCCATTCCTTTTAATAACATATTTAAATTAGGTTGGTTGTTTTTGTACACGATAGATTCAGAGATGAGTCCATTATGCTTTTGACGTAAGAGAGGGCTCTGAAATCCCTCACTTATAAATATGGTTTTTAATTAAAACATTTTCATTTCAGGGTACACTTTTAAACCGAGCTGTCGCATTGGGGGTGGATTTGTCGATGTCAATGAACCATGTATCCTTGACTGTGTAAATAACCAGCTGTCAAACATACTTGGGGAAAATAAGGCGAATATGACATGTTTAAATGACACATTAAATTATCGTTTGTGCAATAAAGATGTCGGGAATATGGTATTGGGAAGTCAATTGGATAAATGTCAGGTATGAATTGATTTATGGTTTAGTGTGTCTAGGGTAGGTCGTGACTTAGCGTATGTCAAATACTTTATTGACAAACGGATGTCATACGCGACTCGGAATCTTGCTGTAATAGCATAGTTTTTCCCGATTAATGGACTATCCAATACCATTGCTTTTTTTTTTCAATGAAAACCAGCTGTTCCTGCGAATGTAACGTTTAAACAAACAACGCTATTTTAAGAATAAAAATGCTATAACATAAATTTCGTTTTAAAGTTATTGTAATATACATATTACAGTCGAAACCGTTTACGACGACATCGTTTAGAACAACATATTGATTATATTGACGAAAATCAAAGGTCCCGGCTGAATTCTATTGTATTAGGTACTTAATAACAACGTCATCGGTTTCTACGACCAAATATGAGAAGTCTCTTCGATGTCGTTATAAGAGATTTTGACTGTAGTAGTAATTTCAAACTATTATTATTAAAAAATAAATAGTCATCGTATACAAATTTAATTTTATTATATGCATTATACCCCATAGAATAATTTTTATTAAGTACTTAACAATGATCATCTTTAACGCTACCAAATCTTAAACATAAAAAAAAATATGTTTATTATGGACCATAAGATACATGTATCACTTATTCCACGTCATTAAATTTGAATTTGTAGGCATCGCTACTCATCGGCAAAGAAGACAGAGGGTGTAGGCCGAGAGAAAAAGCCGGCTTAAAAAATTCTCGGTACTCTTTTAAAATTTGATTTATTAAAAGTATAAAATAATAGTTTTACTGCGAAATGGCCCGATGACACGGGTACTTCTTGCACATTAGTACGTAGATGCCTGCGTCTATTTTTAATTACATTCAAGTCAACAATCTGTACATTAAGGTTTGGGTGGTCCGAAGGTTGGGTGGTAGCTTTTTTACTATATGTGTCCATTTCCCATTACAGCACACAAAACACGTTATAATCCTAGAAACCCTAATTAATACATTTCAGGCTAATTGTGAGCTTGATACCTCAGCACCGTGGAAATTAATGGAGATTTGTTCGGGCTGGGGAGCTGACGTCACCGATGTGTGTAAACCAAAGACACCGGCGGGTGAGCAATTGCCCAAAACCCTCTCATTTACTGGCAACATTCGCTTGTCGTCAACTGTCACAGAACACAGCTGTGTCTTTATAAGACTTACGGATATTGTTATGCCTGATGGTAAGTTTATTTATTTAAGTACTACATCTTGATATATAAAATTCGGGTTTGTGTGAACACTTATAACTCAAGAAATGCTCATTTTCATGGTTTTATATTTGTTATATTTTTTTAAGTCCTTAATAGCAGAATAACAATTTAAAAAATTCAATACAAAATGGTTCGTGGGTTTTGTAACTGTCAAACATTTAATGTTCATCCCATCGATACGGTAAACTGCCTCCTTTTTTAAAGAACGTAATAGAAATAGAAATAATTGTAGATACAATTACTATAATAAATATAGTTTAATAAAACTAAAAAACACGCTTTTAAAGCACCCCAAACTAAAAACTGAAAAATAATTCCAAATTTAGGCGGGAAATGGTAATGAAAAAAAAATACTGGTATTATTGTGAAAAAGCGTGGCGCGCTCTGTGCCATATTTTTCGTCTATCGAGCAACCCTTGATGATGTTGTGCTTTAAAAGCGTGATTTTTAGTTTTTTTAAACTATATTTATTTTCCTCTTTTTAGTCCTAGCAGCAATACGTGTTGTTTCAATTTAATCGTATTGCTTTGTGGACTTAAAAAAAAATTCATTGTTTTTTCGAGATAAACCTATGAAATTATTATATTGTCGCTGATTCTTTATAAGTGTACAAAGTTTGAATTAAATCTGTCTGTTTAATGTGGGTCAAAATTGAGTCCGAAGGAGTCGTTTACATACATACATACATACAGGTGAAGCTAATATAAAGCGTGTAAAAACGCATAAATCAGTTTAACATAGATTCGATCTGTTCAGTCTTGGTCCGATAAAAGCGAAAAAAGGTTTCAGTTCATCATTAATTAATAAATATGTCATTAAAATATATAATCATAGGAGTTTGGTTCTATAATTAGTTAAATACGAAAATACTGTGGTGTTGTTTTTTTCTACAGCGCCATCTATGACGTTCAAAGCGCATGGAATAAGTTTACTTAGTGATTCAATAATATAACTATACATATTTAAATGGGTAATATACGTTTAGTATGTATTGGTTTTCATATAAAGAGGCCTATTTGTAATTAAACGGCTGGACCAATTTTGTTTAATTATACGTAATGTGTATTCTAGTAGTTTCGAGAATGGTTTGGATTCACAATTATACACGTTTTTTTGGTACTTAAGATTTGTTAATAATGCGAATTTTAGGTTTAAATAATCACTTTTAAATTTTAAATTTACTTCAGAATATTTTTTTAAACTTTTCTTTGTTGCCAGCAAAAAATGCGAAAAACAAGTTTGGTTTAAATGAATTTGGGATAGCTTCAGTATGGTGAGCCTATTATGTAATGTAAAGTGTGCCTTGCTTCTGTTATGTTAGACATTAACGCTTAAAACCCACAGCGCACTTTATTCGCTACTTGTATAATATAAAAAAGTAATTTTATTATTGACTAGTGGTGGTCGAGACTGAGGGTATGTTAGACTGCGGACCATTTATTAGTTATAATTCCATTAAAAAAATATAAGCATTAACATCGCATCTGCTTTACAGGTTTGGAATTTGCATGTTATATTTGTCCAAAAATACAGTTAATTTTCTTTTCCAAGTAATATACTTTTTTTTTAATGGCTCTGGCACGGTTTGTGCATTAGCCAGCGTCAAGTATAAGATTTTTTTATAATTCGTGCTTGCCTTAAGAAATTCGACCTCCATGTACGGTTTTAAGCACTCGCCCGGTACCGCACAACCCTCCCAAAGGCCGAGAACAAATTTAATTTAAATTAAAACTTGCCCTCGAACCGGGAATCGAACCCGGGTACCTAGCTGCCACTTAATAAGACCGCTAGGCTATGAAGCCCCTAAAAGTAATACACTTATAAACAATTTTTCTGAATATTAAAACAGTGTAAGAAAAAGCAAGCTACAAGCGTACTTTCGATCGTGAGCAAACCGCTACTTGTGACTCCTATATATCGAAATGTATTACGAGAGTTAGGGCTAAGTCTCAACCGTTAGGCCCAAAGATTTACGACTTGAAAAGTGATCGTTTAATCAGACGCTGAATTTTTTTTTGTCTTGAGGCATTTATAATAATTAATGTCTTACAGGAACAGTGCACTATCCGAATTGCATTACCAAGGCTCAATATGAAATGGAGATGAACTTGTTCCATCCATTGTGTGAGATTGATTGTGATCATGCGCAGGTATTTTTTTTTCACTTAAGCAGTATATTTATTATATAGTGAGTATGTATATTTATTTTATTCAAGATAAATGGTATACTGTAAAATACGCATTAGTGATAAAGATTATTACAATGAAAAGTCGTCTTTGTGTAGTTGATATACGATTGCTTAGTGGAGAAAAGTTTGATTTATTAAATTAATGGGAATAATATCGACTTAAGGTTCTTCAAGAAAAAAGTGTACCTTAAAAGGTCGGCACGCACTCGCGAGTCATTTGGCTTTGTGTCCATGGGTGGTCACTTAACATCAGATGAGCCTCCTGCCCGTTTGCCCCCCAAAAATTAAAAAAATAATAATAATAATATTATAATTTAGTTAATAGTTTTCTGTGGTTACTTGTTTTATTGCTGAACTGATAAATTAACATGCAATTTGTTATCAAAATACCCGCTTTACAGTGAGAAGGGGGTAATATAAATTTATTTTATCTGGATTTTATGAATTAAAAAATCTTCCATGCTAGTGTATAGTCTGTTCTAATTTTTTTTTATATTTCATGACGGCAATCGGGGTGTATCAATCAAAGGTGATAGAATCTCATGGACACATTAAAATAAAAAAAAGTGCTTGCGTACTTCGAAACTTCTTTGGCAAACTAATTTTTAACTCTTGTTCATATTTATACCAATCTAAAACTTTAGATTCCCGAGACTTAGAGGGAGGGAAAAAGATATGTTAGGAATTTAATTGACATTAAAAGTGTGTTAATTTATTTATTAGATAATAAAAACACGAGGCAATTTAATTTACAACATTTGAGATTTCAATAAATTATTTTGCATAAAATATAAAATACTAATATTTCATAAATTCTCTTTACGAAAGAAATTTTAATTTTAAAAATATAATTTCTATTATGTAAATCACCCTTCTCACTCTCTCTCAATCGGTCTCAATAGCTCTCTCCCTTTTCTTGACAAAAACGCTGCACATCTTCGTGACGTTCCGTAAAAATTTTACCCTCATGCGTCTAAAGAAGTTTCACTTCAAAAATAAGGTTGAGATAATTGGGAGATAAAGTTAATTACTACTAAAATAATTTTTAATTAAATTAATAGGTTAACGAGCTTCTTCAATCGGCAAAAGATAGTACAAGCGAAGAGACCTATCAGTATACGAAACAGTTTTGGATGTTTTTTGTTTTCATGATTTTGAACTGGATTGCGGGTGGAGTAGTTGTTGCATTTGCTGATGCTATATGTTTCAATCTGCTTGGTAAGTTTATTTACATAAATATGTTAATAATCCAGTGGCACTGCAACCCTATATCTCGGCCTAAGATTGCATCCGTTTCTTTGATCTCTTCACAGACAAGTAGTCTTGTGTCTGACACAAAATCGATTTTTGGGTTTGACGTAGGAGTATCAAGCAGCACAATATGACAAGTGACAAACTGGACACTATGACAAGTGACAAGCAGGACACAGGTTCGCATCTAAAATTTTCTCGTCTGTAACGGACATTTTGAGGAAACTGGTAAACCAAACAACTCAAACCCAATGATGGTGACAAGGCTGTTCACCTACTTGTCTATGAAATAAATATCAAAGAAACGGCTGCAATTTGAGGCCAAGTCCCATTTTGGGGTTGTGGATGATTATTATTAATATAACGTAAAATTCAGAGGTCAGAATGAGTAACAGATTTTTAGTGATGGAAAAGTTCGCGTAAAAATCGACTCCTACGCATCTAACTGATCTTATATGCCCTAAATATATTTTCCACAATACCCTCTATACATTTACTACTAAATCAATTTTTATTCATAATTCAATTTAAATATATTTTTAGGTACTAAAAAGAATTCTTATGGAAAGCAACGGTTATGGGGATCCGTTGGTTTCGGACTATTGTCGCTTATAAGTGGGAGTCTCATAGATTTATTCAGCGCTGGCGCATACAAAGATTACACTATAGCATTTGTTTTAATGTTCGTTTTTATGTGCGGAGATGTTGTAGTATCGTCTTTTATGAAGGTATGTGGACTTATTTATTTAATTTAATTATAATGTGTTACGACCTTGACAAGACCTTGACGACCGTTCATATGTAATTTGAGAGTAGACCTTTGGTAGTGGGTATTTATTAGTGACTATAGATCCTATACAAATTGTTATTATGAATTCTGTTATTGCCTTTAGAAACATTTATAATTTCAAAAACCCGCGAAATCGTATCGCAAGATAGCGTCGTATGTACAACGTACTATGCAAATACTAGTCAAAGTTTTTTACGTATTAAGTGTCTCTTTCACAATGTACGGATAAGTTCTACATAAGTTCCAAATAAGCTATTTATTACTTATTGGTAGGATAAACACTATTGTTGCGTTTCACGACTGTCAGATAGCGCTATTCGTCACATAAAGTCATCATAACTTATGAGTCCGGTGAATGTCAAATAGAACAATTTATCTTCCAAATTATTTATGTGTTGCATAGCTATTTGGTACTTTATCCATACATTGTGAAACAGACCCTAATTCTTAAAACACAAGAAATAAACATAGCTATTGGACAAGATTTTAAAAACCTATACAAATTTCCGAAACACTTCTCTAGGCAATATTGCGTCGCCATTACGTTCCAGTCCTTTCGTACTATTTTAGTAAACAAAACCAAGGTTTTTACATTTTAATTGTTATTCTTAAATAACATAAATTTTTTCCATCTAAAACGAAATTAAACTCGTAGGTAAATTAAAAGGCGAAGTCTTTACTGTCACGGTCGATTTGACTTAGATGGGACCATTTTGTGTCACGTGTATAATCATTTTTTGATAAATTAATGATTATATGCAGGTTTTCTTCGTAAAAATTTTAAAGCAAGGCCTCTAAATAACAATTTATTTTTCATACTGTCATATAATCAATTATCTAAGACATTCATTACATTGGTGGACAGCCAGGGTATGAATGCACGGCGTCAGGGTTGTAAGGGTATTTTCAACCAAATATATAACTTATTACGTATTTCACTATTTCGGTATGTGGATTTAATGTGGATTTAACACTCGCTCATACGGTGAAAACATTGTGAAGCATCCGTCATCCTTAAGACCCAAAAATTCCACGGCACAGAAGGCTCTTCAGAAATAATTTAGTTGCCTATTAAGAAAAAACGATCACGAGACAGATGGTTGTAAGACCACTGTTCATTATTATTATGAAAATCATTGTATGGACGAGTGAACCAAACTTAATCGAGTAATTTCGGTTTTAAATTTAGTTAAAACATGTTAAAGTTAAAACAAACACAACACATTTTAACTATAATGTTTACAACAATAATTTGTTATAGGTAGAATCTTTGGCATTCTCTTTAAACATATTATCCGATGTTGGAACTTTATTCAAATCTGCTCGCAACTGTGTCTTCATGTTATGGACAATATGTGTCGGGTTATGTACGGGGTTGCTCTGGCAATTTTTGTTCTGGCATATTGAGGATGTGGCCAGATTGACCTGTGACGGTGCGGATTATGTGAAGACGTTACAGGGGCTTGTCAGTGCCATACAGACATTTGGTGGCGAGATACCCTTCATGTTTCTATCTGGTAATTTTATTTGCAATAGAATTAAAATGAATAGTAATAATTTTATGTTGATGGGAAGAGAAAAAAACTGTATGAACACTTTTTAAATCCTATTAAAATTCTGGTTATGAATTGTCTTTTTTCAGGTTATATTATAAAGAAAATTGGACACGTGAATGTGATGAGTATTGTACTTATTGCTTTTGGCGTGCGCTTCGTACTATACTCGTTCCTCACAAACGCCTGGTGGGTTCTGCCAATAGAAATATTCCAAGGTGTCACCTTCGGAATGTTCTATCCAACGATGACGTCGTACGCCAGTCTTGTATCACCACCGGGAACCGAGAATACCGTTCAAGTATGTAATTATTAACGTCATTTATAAATAATATTAATAGGTTAATAATATCAGGGGCTAGAGTCATTTCCAAGAAACCATTTGTTGGGAATTGCCAACCATTGTATGGGAATGACATTAGCTCACGATTAGTCACATGTTTTCAATAATCTCCAAAAATTTCGTTACGTAATACTTAAACGCTCCCCCGGGCACCGAAACCTTTCATACCAACTCGACTTAGGGTCCTTCAAAAATGATACCAATTCCATAAGGGCGGGTTCGCCGTGCCACACACGGAGTTATTTTAGACCAATAATCTCCTAAGACTTTATAATGTTTTATTATTTAATTAATTTCTTGCGAAAATTTAAATATTAGAATGATATTGTTTACCATGAATGATCTTTGAAAGAGACATAATTTATTGTTGAATTTCAGGGCTTAGTTGGCGCCATATTTGGAGGTGTTGGTACATCACTTGGGAGTTTGATTGGGGGTTATATGTACCAAACGTATAAGGGTTGGAACACATTCCGCTGGTTCGGATTTGGGGCGGTTAATGTCGGTGTGCTTCACGTCATAGCGCAGTACTTACTTAAAGATAAACCGCATCTTGATCAAGGTAAAGAAATGCCTGAAGCGTAATTTAGAAGAATGCTTTGTAAAAAGCATTTATGTTCGACGTTTCTTAGCAATGTATGTTGATCTAATTAAAATTATTATTAATAAATAAAGTAATTGATTTCATTACTTAATATGCAAATTAACGTGAACTTAAATATAGATTTCTAATCAAATTCAAATTGTAAATAGTTTCAATAGAATTCAGACTAAATTCAATCTGAGATTTATTTAATCATAATCACATAAATCACAAACATATGAATAAAAATAGTACAAAGGCTTATTTGAAAATGTACGAAAAGCAAAAAGACACAGCGTACACCGAAAATATTGAAAAAAAAAAATCTATGTTACGAAATATTCAGAACAATTGTTAAATATTATTCAGCGCCATCTGTCGAAAACTTTATCGGATACAAATGCGATTTTTATTTACTTTACAGTCAAGTGTCACGCTTTAGTACTAAACCAAAGGTTGATTGATTCAAAATCAAAATCAAAATACGTTTATTCAATTTAGATGCTTCTTAGAGCATGCTTATGAATGTCAACAACGTTTACAAAATTCACGAAAGAGCAAGACTACGCCATCCGTTCGCAAAACTACCAGGAGGCCTTGTTCTGAGAAGAACGGGCAAGAAACTCAGCAAGTTTGCCCTCCCTTTACATTACAATTATTCAAAGGAAAATGTCATAAACCACAACGTCATTAAAATTACATAAGTAAAAAAAAATAAAAAATCTGTTCTGTGATTTACCACATTCACCATTACACACATATTCATAACACTTCAAAGATAACAAATCAAATTATAAGAATATAATTAGAACTATTGCCAAGCATTTTTATCTTCCAGGTAGTCATTGACTGTGTAGTAACCTTTACACATTAAGGTTTTTTTGATGTGTGTTTTGAATCTGTTTAAAGGCAGTTCCAATATTTCACTAGGAATCATGTTATAGCAGCGTATACTTAGGCCCATAAATGAAGTATTTATTTTCTGCAACCTGTAAGACGGCTGGAAAAGTTTTCCCTTATTTCTTGTATTCCTATTGTGAATGTCGCTGTTCTTTAAAAGAGAACTAATATTACTACGCACAGAAACGATTCAATGCAACTTGCCAATATTGCAATAAATACGTCAACAGTAACTGCTCACTGCCTGTTCAACAGGGCTGAATACAAATTACATAACGAAGTATGCAAATGTCCAAGTAGAGTTAAAAGCTAATATATGTTATATATAATCTATTTCAAAACATATAATCTAAATCTAATCACCCCTTGGAAACTTGAACGTTAGTGTTTTGTAACCTGTTGGAAACTGATTAAATAGTTTGATTACCGTAGTTTTTTTTGAATACAGCTTTTTTTCCTTAATTTACATAATTATTACTAACTGACGTGAGACTGATCTTAAATTATCGTGATTCATGTGCACTTTTTATGTTTCATGCATCCTTTATAAGTTTAGTTTCTTTTTTGTTCCTGTTTAGTTTTTTTTCTGAATAATATGTAATATGTATTTTGCACTTCTTGCCTACCTTATCTAATTTAATCATTTTTTTTTCTCACAGTGGTTGCCTGGAAGAGATTGCTCTAAAGCGATAAGGCCGCCAGTTGCCCTCCTTTTCATTTAATTACGTTCAATTTTTATATTGTAATGCAACGAAGTGTTAATAAGTTAATAATTTTATTCCTAGTTAATTACTGCTTACTTATACCTAACTGACAATACAAATTTATGTTTGAAGAATAATATGTTCTAAAAAATATTAAAATTCTCGCTTGGAGATGTGCGTGTAAATGTAAATTATGCATTTATCTATAATCAAGTTCACGATAATTTTACATATTTTTATTAAGAGACTAACCCTAACTATTTATCAGTTTAGTAGGACTATTTTAAAGTACTCATTTATCTCTTTTCATCACAGCGTGAACAGAAAGGGACGAAAGAGTACCAAAAAATGCAATTTTACTGACTATTTACATAAACTATTTTCATATCGTTTAAACCAGAAAGTAAAACTAGTTAAGACTGATTTTATTAGTAAGGAGTTAGTCTATGCTTATATAGTATATGTACATAATGTGTTATATGTTTGTTAATTGTTCGCTAATTTAATGTAAATAATTATAATAAAGCGTGTATGGTCGGCTTATAATTAAAGTTTTTTGGTCGAATTCAATTCGAAGCTAAGACGGATTCATATAATTTGATTTATCGCGATTCATAACCACGATTAGTGTACTCAGTAGGTTATATTATGTATATATAGGTGATGGATTTTGATATGGTGAATACATGTTTATCACATTACCAACCCTTAGCATGTACAGTCAATAGTTGACTTAAAAAAAAACAATTTAAACTTGTAGTATTTTAAAAGAGAAATCAGAAATATAAAATGTTCTAATATTATTCTTGTAGTGATCAAAAGTATTGAAAATGCTTTCGTATAAAAACCGTAAAAAATGCTTTCATTGTAATGTTTATTTTACATAGATACCAAAATGTTAGGAGGAAGCAAAAGGAATATTTATTTTTTCGAGTTAGAGATTTTTTTACATATTGTACCCGCAATATTTAGCTAAAAATGAATACGACGTTCACGTGAGTCTTAGAGGCGGAGACTTTAGTGTCAATAGATTACCCACGTAGGTAATATAGCTTTTAAAAATGCTTCTAAAATACAAAACAAAGGATAATGAATAGTTTTGTTGCCATAATCGTTAAAGACTGAGACGAATTTTGTTCATTGTAAAATACGCCTTAGTCAAACGTAACAAAGACGCTATTACAGTTCTCGGGAATTCGAAGTAATTAAAATTTTGCTAATAGTGGTCGTGTATGTTGATGGCAATATTGAGTTGGTAATGTTCTGTTGTTCAAACAAACTAAAATATATGAATAATTTTTAGACGTCACACTTTTGGATAACGCTATGACCGTTTTGATATTAAAGTATTACCTGTCTTAAGCTTTTTTATACATGAAGTTGTACCTGAGTGGATATTAATTGTGCTGGGTTTGGGTTTAATTGGTGAAATGTTTTAGATTTTAAGGTAAATTGGTTGTGATTTTATGTAAAATTTTGTCAATTGGTAGTGTAGATATTGTTTGATTCTTAGCGGTTTTTTCAGGTTATTCGTCTGTGATTCACTATGGGCATACGAATGATGCAGTGAATATATTGGACGACGACCCTGATTTTATGTAAACTCCAAAATTTATATTTAACCAACTTTATTGTGGATGGCGTCGCCACTGTCGTTTATTTTTGTATTAAGTTTACAAATATTTGGTAAATTTACCAAGTAATTAGTAAAAAGGTTAAAAAACCTTAAACCCTTTAGATTTTGTAACAATACTATAGACAAGGAATGTACTTAATGTGCTTACTTACGCGTATATGCCAAAATGTAAATAATAAATTATACTCTTTATTATTTTATATAAACCTTTTTGCAAAGATTATGGTAATTCAGCGTTCGAAGACTGACAACTCTAGTTCCTATTTTTGCTATTTCACAGATATTTTGGTGGCGCTGTCTAATTAATATTTTATTTCTGAAACACTAAAAACAAATACTTTTTGTTTTTAAAACAAGTGGCCAGTTACTTAATTTTTTTTATCATGTGGTGGATGTCACTTTTTTACAAAATGATATTGGCTACTTTACTGCCACAACTTAACAAAGACATTTTTATATTTTTTATTTATTAACTATACAAATGTTCGAATTTCAAACTATAATCGGCTCTGTTTTTTTAAACATATGATAATTGACGGCGCAAAATCTGACAATTGACATCTATGGTTTCAAAAGTTATGTTATTTTACCTCCTAACAATCATGCTATAGAAACTGGCATAAAGTCAAAACTATTGCCATAATATTAAAAAAAACAATCATGCTTTATTGCTGCCAGAAATTTGTATACGATGGTGATATTAGTAATAGATTATAGAGCCAAGTTATCCTCGTTTTCACAATAACTTTATTTACGGGCTAGGGGTATGGCATTATTTTTTATGTGTTATTGCAGTACTTTATAGTTATATATTATTTTTATAAGTGGGGTGTTGTTTGTATAACATGAGAAATTTTATTATGTGAATAAATTATAAAGTTAATTATATTGTGTTTTTTTTAATGATTAGTACCTTATTAGATAATTTACGAATATTTATGAACTAGAATAGGCGCGGAATTAATTATATGTATTATATCATTAATATCAACAAAAAAACCTCGCACTCGTATCATAGCATTTGATGAATGATTTCATAATAACAAGCTTTATAAATTCTAAAATAAAAATAAGTTATAGATTCTCTTTTACGTTTCCTATGACACAGCTTTGATATCAAAAACATTTTATGAGATGATACTTGTAAAAAGCGCGCAGTCTTTGCCATGTTTCATTCAAAATAATCTGTACCCGCATTTGCGCAGGCGCGATGTTTTGGCGCCATTTATCGACGACGTTTTGTTTTAGTGAAATCATTTAACATTGGGAAAGTTTTAATTCTTGCATAAAATAAGTGGTTCTCTAGAAATTTTAAATTCACCTGACCATATATATTTGTTTGTCTTTTGCAAAAGCTGACAGCACTTTTAGAAGTTTGTTCTTGTAGGTTCGTATCGAAAATGGGGCTCATCGTTGATCAAAAACGTACTACGTATTAGTTTTATCCCAATTTAAATGTAATATTTAAAAAAATGTGTTGATTAAACCTTTCTTTTTATATAATGCTTCCAATACTGAATGATTGTGAAGCTCAACTTAATATAAGTAAGTAAAATGTTATTAATCATATTGTGTTCTTACTATGGAGGGTAATAAAATGGGTTTGTCACATCAATAAAAATAGTTTAAGACCTAACTCAAACTCAAAATATCTTTATTCATATAGGTAAACAAGTACACTTATGAATCGTCAAAAAGAAGTTAAATTAATTGTAAATTTTCATTTACTGCCAGTTCGCAAGTCAAGGGCGTAGAGCGGGTAAGAAGAACTGGCAAGAAACTTTCCGCCACTCTTTTTAATCGCCAAGTATTGTCATACAAATTGTTTGAACTGGAGCAAATCAATCCCAAGGATTAGGATCTTATTATTATTGATTAATTTACGTTTAACGAAGGCTTTGAATTTATTTAGCGATAATTCTCTAATTTCGCTTGGGAGTTTGTTAAAAACAACAGAGCGCATTGGGAATATCAATTAAGACTAAGCATTTTTTTAAAAACATAGTCAAGCTATTACGCTCAAATACACTTGGGGCACATTGACCAATGAACCGATGATGCGTAACACACCTCTTACAGTAGTGACCTAGGACCAGCTGTCAGAGTGTAAGACGATTGGAAATTTAGGATGCCTTGAGAGGGCTTCGAAGAAGTGGATTGGAGCGGTAGAACGATTCTATTTGCGTGTATAACTCGAGTGTGCGGATAAATAGAAAAATACATGCTACATCAGGCCGTTTCAAGAACTACTTCGTCCCATCTGCAATCACAAACGCGGTTATTGTCACCGGACCATATCCAAGTATAATGCGTGGTACCACTTCTGTAACGACAGCGTCACAAATAGAATGCCACAGCGATATACAGACCTTGTATAGTAACGTTAGACCTTATTTCAGTTCCTGATTAAGTGGAGTTTTCCCGAAACTACCAAAATTTCGATCGAAGCAAAACAATTCATGGAAGAAAAAACTGAATAATAAATGATACAAGCTGTCGAATAGGGCTAGAACAATATATACGTACGTATTAAATGTAATCACAATCCAAGGCCAAACGGCTTGGTAATAAAGTTGGTGTCTTTGTTATAATTTGTCTTAACCCAAGAAGGATTGGCGAAATGAGGTCACACAAATTGACCTTTAAATGTAACGCATTAAAGGTGACTTATACAACTGATTGAAATAACAGTTCACCGTTTACCTGACCTACTTACAGTCGACGTTTCTTAAAGAACTTCATCGAAGTAGGTAACGCTATAGGCTGTTACAGGAGGTGCCTTTTCGCCAAATTTCGTGGCTATTCCAACACGACTCCTCCTTCCGTCGCGATTGGCCTTACGCGGCCCAGCTCAACCAATAACGCCACCGCCTTCCCCACTCGACCACAAATTACTAAGATTAGAAACTACTTGAAACACAAAAACCGACTTAACTGATTAATAATTACCAAAGTTTATAAAGTATAAGTTTTAATTTTATAATGGTCGTATAAAGTTTTCTAAACGCAGCTTTCCCTACCTACCTACACGAGTATTAGTAACTTTAGTGTGATTTGACTGCGCTGCGCTTCAGTCGTAGTGTCGAACGAACTAACGCTTTTCTCGGTCGGAACTCGCGGCATCCACACGTCCGCCCGCCCTGTAACTGAAGCATAAAGTTTTGCCGCGCTCTAGTGAAAACTTATTAATTAGGAGATTATTTGGACTTATTTGTGCTATTATTGTGTTTGGTGACTTATTTAGACTTATTAGTGTATTTTAAAACTGTAATTTCTACATTTTCGTAGTGAATACGGATTTCGGCACAGTTGATAAGTAATTTTTCAAACTGGGTAAGATTTTTTTAATATTTCAAATGTTTGAGATTTTTAATGAAAACAATATTAATCAATTTCTAAAATATTTTAATTAAAATGAATGTTAATAAATAGAATGGCTAGCAAAGGATAGCAAAAAATAGTCAATATCTAAAGTAAGCTAATGCGTAATTTTAATTGTAAAATAATATAAATTCTTGTGCAATATACCGGAAATCATTTCTTCAAATAATATAAACAACAATTAAAAGGCCTATGTTAACAATGAGTTTAAAAATGTGCATGCCTTGAAGTTTTGATTGCCGGAATTGCAAACATAGCAAACAAGAATTGGAATTTTTAATAACTGTTGCTTACGTATTATAATTGAATCTGTCTGTGATTAACTTGCATAAGTAGTTTTCAGTTTCCATATAAATATGATTTCCATGATTTAAAAAAATCACTCTTCAGTAGATATCTGTATCAATGAAATCCTAACTGATTATTCAATAACCAATTAATATTTCATCTTATTTATTCGGTTGCCCGAAGAATTAAAAAGATAAGACGGCCTTATTATAACTACAGTCTACTAAAATAGTAGTTGACATTTTTTTATATTTGATTACGTAAGCAAATCCAATGGCTTATATTTTTGACCTTGATTACCTTCATAAATATATTATCATTTATAAAAAAAGACGTCAGGATTTATTGAAATACGCTTACCCTGTGACTCCTTCAGTATGAATAAGGGGGATCTATATTTTACATATTCCAAAGTCCTTATAAAAAAGTTTTAATTTAGACACATTAATTTTTATTGCCAACTTGTAATTTTTAACTACTCAATCGCGCTCGTTATTTCATTTGGGGCTAGAGATTTTCGGTAGTTTTTTCCGTTCCTTTTTGTATGCAATTGCAAAGAATTCTCAATATCCGTAGCGCTGATCCGTAGTACAAAAAGCCGTAAAACCCAACATTGAAGTTGGGATCGCAATCACTATCGCTAAAGGGAGTTTCAGAGTACCAGGACGGTCCTGCATGGCATTATAAAATAGAGGTTATGACAGTCCCAATCTCACACAGGGTCATATGCAGTGATAAATAAATTAAAATGTGTATTAAGAATTTAAAATATATAAGTCATATCGGACTTTAGTCAATTTCGGCTCAAGTTACAAGTGGCCTTATTAAGCGCATGATGCACGCGTCACGTCTCGGCCTTAATTAAAAACTATATAAACTAGAGATCTAACCCAATCCGATAGCGTTACAAGTCTAAATATGCCTTAGAACCGTGAAACTTCGGGTCTAAGAGTAAGATTCTGAAACGTGATTTGGTGCCCGTACTTCGAAAGTGTATTAGAAAACTTACGGGAGTCTTAGTTCGTGCTAAGTCTCAGAAACTTACCTTACGCCATACATTTGTATTTTAGTTCCAAATATGCCCACGCTGTGTTTCAGAGAAAGAATATGTAGTTTCATTTCTATTACGTTAGCTATTCGATTACTTATTGAGCCTGCGTATGTTGAGTAAATGGAAACATAACCTCGGTTTCCATATAATATTTTCCTTCACCACACAAGCGATTGTCAATTGAAAGTCTATTGGGGCAGAGACAGGCTTGAGACGCCAACTTCATAGTTGAGGTCCGACTCTTAG